CTAAAAATTAAGAATCAAAATTCAAATTCAAAATTTTGAGATTTTTTAGTTGATGACCAAAAGCAGATATGGTGGAACTGACACTGCTTTGGTGCAAACGGTGGTTCCAAAAATATTCTTGAAAAAAATTATGAAGAAATCTCCGACCCTTCACATTCTACAGCAGTTTTTCAAAAACATGGAAAATAGCTAATTTTCACCTGGTTTTTATCAATGATAGGATATGATAATAGTAAGGCTTTTATCTCAAACATTAAAAGGGCTACGAATGTGGTTCAGTTTTTTTAAAACTAGAGATGCATCTTTATCTCAAAACAGTCAGTTTCAGCCAAAGTCCAGTCTCTGGTATTTAGTTTCAACAACACATGAACATAAAAAGTAAAAAAAAAAAAAAAAAAAAAAAAAAAATTACAAATGGCTACTTGCATTCTAGTTGTAGATTTTTTTCCTGATGTGATACAGCAGCTGTGGATAAAATCACTCTTCTTTGAGGCTCCTGTTCAAGCTGACTATTTGTAAATAAAAATTGGTGTCAAAATCTTCAACCATTCAGATTCTTCTTTTTTTTTTTTTTTTTCCCAGATGAGCCACTTTTGGTTCATTTTCCAAACCGCCACATTATTCGAAAAATGGCAATGCTTCAGCTGTGTTTCCATATGATCCATTTTAAATAAGTTTTTACAATGAATCAACTTTTTTGCAAATACTTTCAAGACATAATTTGAAAAGTGTGATTCTGATGTCTTTCACATGATACATCTACCTCTCCAAGCTCTCCAATCCCCAAGTTGAAGGATACTGTAACTCGTGAAACGCACTTCTTTCACCTGTAATAAATGCAGAAGGACCAATGATGAAACCAACATGATATAGGCCATTTCTCAAACATCAACCTCTATTTAGCACATCACAAATGCTGTCACTTTCAGCAATGAGTGGAGACTTTCCAAACCTAAGCCAATTTATCATCCAAACAAAACCACACGCGCACAAGTATGAGAACACGAATAGGAGCAGAGTTTTCCGCATAGAAATACAGCAGATTTTCAAACAGTAATACGCACTCTCACGGTTCATCGGAAAGATTTCCAGTTTATCATCAATCTTCTGCATGCAATTCTACTTTATAAAATATTTCAATTCAAATGATTCATCAACAGAATGACATCGATTCAACTCACACTTGCAGGCAAACCTACACCAACGAACGCACAACCGAACAAAAATGAAAGAACCGCCTCTGATTTGCTTTTCTTACCAAGAAAAAACAAGCACATGGATTGTTCTTTAGAAAACGCAGTTGACGATGCAGGAAAGAGAATTCAAGGTAGCTAACTAGTAAAGTTCACACGCTGCTGTGTCATATTTAAAGGTCTGTACTTACAAACACTGGATTACTTACTACTTGGTACAAGTAGTACTAAGTTAAGTACGATAAGTTATGTATTAAGGAATATTACCGCTAATACAATATACATAGCCTGGACAAAAGTGCAAACTCAGGCAGCAAACTAAAATAGAATGAGAAACTGAGATGGCAATACGAACGCATGCAGAGAGAGTAATCGCTACCCAGATAGCAAAAGACATTAGTTCAATGTTGGATTTTGGTCAGATTGTTTATTTTTGGTTGAGGTTGAAAAATCTATGTTGATTCAATGTTTAATTACAGTTACCATTTCAACATTTGAAAACCTGTTGTTGAATCAAGATAGTGTAGATGATGATTTTTCAATGTTGAGATGCCCTACAATGAATTGACATCGTTTCAACGGTGCTGATGCGGGGGGGTGTCGTCACAAGTACAAAAGTATCATTTCTTTTGAATCTTTGATAAATAACTAAAATGAATAATGGTCTGTTTTATTGTTTTTTTTTGTTTGTTTGTTTCAGTATTTTAACCTTCGTCTGTATGTTTTTAATATGCCTCATTTAAAAAAATAATCATTTTACTCTATTTGGTGTTTTAAAGTTCTGCATGTTCAGGTTTGGGCCTTTCAGCCCCTCCCCTTTCACGGTCCTCTACCTCCACCTTGATTGGCCTCGGCTGGAGCCAGTTAAGGTGGAGGTAGTTGCAGAGTATTTAGGGCTGGCAGGTGCCAGTCCTTGTGCTCTGCATTTTTTCTTGGCCACAGCAGGTCTGTGTGTCTGTTTTAGCTGCCACCTTGTCTTGTTTTTTTTTTTTTTTGTACTTCACTTCTTGTTTGTTTTTTCAAGTGAATTCAGTTCTTCACCCCCAGCCGTGGCACTTGAGTCTCCTTTCGCCCAAGCCCATGGTCTTAGTGCCCGCCGGATTGCCGTTTGCATCCGACGGGGTGCAAACCATAACACTGCGGGGGTGGCTCCAAACTTGTCTATTAGTGACATCACTGCCATTCAGGCATATGGCAGTGATATCACTGACTAGTAGACTACTTTGGCATGCTCCTTGTTGAACTATACCATAAATAGAGTAATAAAGTGATTATTTTTTAATGAGGCATATTAAAAACATACAGAGGAGGGTTGAAAAGTGTTGAAAGGGCCCTTTAATAATAACATTGTTTCAATGTGTAATGCAATGCAAATATAAAGTTGAATCAATGTTGATGCAATTCTACATTCTTTCAAAGTTGAACATATCATAGTTGAATCAAGGTTGATTCATTGTCAGAATTGATTGGAAATTCAAATTATTTCCATGTTGATCATAGCGAGCACTTTCAATTTTATTTTCAATACCTGATATCAGTGTTGATTGCAATCTTCAGCCTGACAATATCACAATGTTGATTCAATCACTTTTTGTTCTCTGGGTTTTGCATCACAATCAAGCAAAAGAGATGTTAGACAAGAATAGCACACCACACTCGACCAGACAAACTCTGAGAGATAATAGGGCGAACCCAATATCAAATGAGATGTGTAATATGTTGCAGCAAACACTCATATCTTGCTAATCATATAAAACAATGACTGACACACGTACCATTCAATGCACTCCCAGGCTGAGACATGACGCAAGCTCACAGAATTTGGCAAATCAAGGAGTTGGCCTCGCCTCCAGGCATAGAAAAAAAAGTCTAAACCAATGATAGTCAACGATTCAGGGAAAAAGAAAAGAATCGCTACGAAATTGCAATACATATGCATGCAGAAAGCGAATGCTTCTCGACAGCGCCAAAAGATGTCGGACTAATTGCGCACTGCACTTAACAGGATTGACTCTGAAAAATAATACGGCAAACAAATGAGATCTGTGCTATGCTGCAGAAAACACAAATTTCTTGCTAAGCAAATAAAAGAATGACTGACACAAGTACCGTTCCGTAGTGCTGGTGAGATGAAGCTTCATGAAGTGTTGAAGCTTTCCAGCCAGGGTCCTCATTTATCATTGTGAATACACCTTTTTCCCCCCGTTTTGTGCGTACGCACTTTTCTCTGCCAAATTTAGGATCTATCAAAGCCAAACCTGACGGGAAAAAGTGCGGACATTTACTCCCATTTTGACCATGGCGTACCGTGATTTACACCCTTTTTGAAGAACAGAAGGATTTGGCGACTCAGCTGCTGAGTCAGAGAATTGCAGCGTGTGAGGGAGAGAGGAGCGCGGATTATAGCCTATTTAAAAGAACAATCTAAGCCACAGCAATGTCCGGTTTTCCTAATGTAATCGGAGCCATTGACTGCACTCACATCATGATTAGGGCACCATCGGTGAATGAATTCGTAAATGTGAATCGCAAAAATGTGCATTCGATCAATACCCAAATCATATGTGACGCCGACATGCTCATAACGAATGTAGTGGCGCGGCGCCTGGCTCTACACATGATTCATTCATCCTGACGCACAGCAGTGTGGGGCGAGACTGGGGGCAGGCGCTGCGCGTGACGGCTGGCTTCTTGGTGAGTGCATGTAGGCTACACAGTTTACTCATTCATTGAAAGCTGCTGCTTACAATCATCAATTCAAGGCTGATACTCACCCCATCGTTGTGACTTACAGGTGATAGTGGCTACTTCCTGAGGGAGTGGCTATTAGTTCCCATCCCGGACCCACAGGGTGCCCAGGAAACCCAGTATAACGAGGTCCATGCCCGAGCGCGCTGCATCGTGGAGCGCGCCATCGGGCTCCTGAAAGGCTATTGGCGCTGCCTGGATGTGTCGGGTGGTTGGCTCCTCTACCACCCAAAAAAGGTCTGCAGGATCATCTGGACCTGTGCCATCCAGCACAATGTGGCAGTGAGGCGTGGGGTTGCGCTGCCGCCGAGCCTCCCTCCACCCCAGCATGTGGACCCGGACCCACAGCCCCCTCCCCGTCATGAGGGTTTTCAGCGGGGACTAAGGACACGAGCTGCGGTGATGCAGCGGTTGTGGAAAAGCTCATTTTGTGGATAAAATTGTAAAATTTCTCAGTTTCAACATTTACTATGTTATCTCTGTTCTACTGTGAATAAAATACTAGCTGGAGTGATTTGAAAGTCATTGCATTTTGATTTTATTCAAAATTTACACTTTGTCCCAACTGTTTCGGAATTGGGGTTGTATATGCACACTCCCATGGACTTTACCATTCGTTCACACTCTGATTAGATGTGTGCTTTAATTGTCAAATTTCATGTCTTTTTATAAATGAATTAATCAAAATAAAGTTTATTAAAAAGATGCACATTTCTTTTCGTTATGCTCTGTACCTGTAGTTGGCATAATGACAATAAATTTGAATGTTCTAATCAAATATTAACAGTTTCCCATTTCCCCTAAAGTTATGACATCTGCCCCTTTTGCCAGTGGGAGTGGGACAAATCAGGGCTCACAGTAGGTTACAGTTACAGTTACTGTTACTGTTCACACTGAACTAACTACAAAGTACTTTGCTCACAAACTTTGATCAAAATCCACCGCTGTTTAAAGTCCCCGCTGGATTTGAGTGTAACAGCACCAGCGTCAGCAGAAATTTATTTCCGGGTGCCACAGGCATCGCAAAATTGTTGAAAGTCCCTATGAAATACACAACTGCAACCACAAAGAGTCTTGAACCCTTAGTCTTCTGATCCAAAGTCAGAAACCTTGTCCATTAGGCCATGTGGTCATTGTATGGCTAAACTTACTTCGAATTGTGAGCTGTGAGAACTGACAGCGGTTCATAAATGCCATGTCAAATAACCGCTGTCATGTTAAATTAAACAGCCCTGTCATTGAAAAACTCTCATACTCAATCACTCTCCAGATCCAAACTCAGGTGTTTAGACCGTATGGTCAGGATGAGCAATGTTAGCCCCTTGACTGAAGTTTGCTGACTTTTTTTCTCAGGTTTCAGTGTAAGTAACAGCAGCAAGATTATGTTAAAAAACACCTCCGTCACACAACTATGAACGGACTCAAGTCCTCAGTCTTTTGATACGGAGTCAGAATCCTCCTGCATTAGACGCCCTTTCATATTAGGTGACATCATTGGATTGACTTATGTTATTCCCATAAACAAAGCCTTGTGAGTGTTAGTTTCAGGTTTCTGTTGCAGAAACCGTGACCAAGTCATGTTAACAAGCATCAGCTTAAAAGAAAGTTTTTGTCCGAGAAACAGCTGGCAAGTGACATTAACAAGCACCAGCTCTAAACATCCATGAATGGTCTCCAACTGTCATTCTTAATATGGGAGTCAGCTAACTTATCCAATATTTGCCCGATGGATTAGTTCACATGGTCAGGTTGAGTTTTGCTTGTCCCTTGACAGTAGTTTTGTGAGTTTTGTCAAGCTTCTCTCTAAAACCGCAGCCAGATAACATGAAAAACCAGGACCGGAAAACACTTATGAAGGGACTCAGATCCTCAATTTTCTGGCTCAAAGTCAGAAACCTCATCTATTAGTTTTCTTTCATACATTACAACTACTATGTTACATTCAAAAGCTCTGTTATTGAACAAGGCATGCTCAATTACCTGATCCAAAATCGGGTGCCCTGTGTATCGGACCGTGAAAAACAGCTTGCAAATGATATAAACACAACTGTCAAACAACCAAGAAGGGACTAAGGTCCTTAGTCTTCAGATCCAAAGTCAGGAATTTATCCATTAGGTGCCCTTCATATTAGGTTACATCATACGACTGAATTGCTTTATTCTCATAAACATAACGTTCCAAGTGCTTTGTCTGATTTCATCTGACGAAACAGCTACCAGGTCATATTAACAAGCACTAGCTTTAAAGAAAGTTTGTATTTCGGAAATACAGCAAGATACATTAACAAGCACCTCCATGAAACACCCTTGAAGGTTCTCCAACACTAAATCTGAAGATCAGGGCCGCGTTTGAATAGTGTTTTTTGTCTCGGAAAGTGGCTAACTTCTAGAAAATGAGCTGGAAGTATATACACGGCAGCAATGATAAGTGTGTTTGAATTTTGTAAATGTAAAGGAAAGGTGCTTCAGTGTTTCCTAACGTATCACCTTTGACATAGGGTACACAAAACCATTCTTCATAAAAACAAAGGTGATAACGCCATCCAGCCATTCAGTGTGGCAGAACTATTTCATGTGACGACCATCCATACTGGCAATCACAAAAAACAAAGGAATGTGATGGGCAAGAATGGCATGATCAAATTGGCCAGTAAATGCATTCAAATTGTCTTAGCAGCACAGTTGTCTTCCTTAGCCGTTAGGAATTCCCCTTTACACATCTCCTTTACCTCATGACGTTATCCAATCGAGGTTGAAGAAACATTTTTGGAAATTAAAGCATCTGACGTCTTTTTTTGACTATTCAAACTCTGCAGCGAACTTATATAACTTATCCTTTACTTGCCATATATATTAGGTCACATGGTCAGGTTGAGTTATTCTAGTCCTTTAATTGAAGCCTCATGGTTTTTCATGTTAATTTTAAAGAAACAGCTGTCTAGTTTTAAAATGCACACACTTTAAAGTATTGTTAAGGGTCTCTTTAATGTTCTGAACCAAGGACTGACACCTTCTCCATGCGATCGCACAGTCAGTTTCCATGATGTCAGCTCCATAGAATTAAAAACAGTTAAATGGACGATGTCACAGAGTCGTTGGGATCTCAAGAGAGCTTAAAATGGCCACCGTTATTGGTAAGAAAGTATTCTTATTGTGACACCTGAAAGGGAAGATCATAGAATTCTACAAAGGTTGGCTAGTATTTACAAGCAGCAAAGGTAGTTTCACTCAAGTCTGCTCATACTTTGATGCAATTGTCAATGCCCTTTTACTACAGTGTTTGAATTGTATGGATAGCTGAAGGGAGTATCAGCAGACTTTTATAGCACTATCTTGTATTCACTATTGTTACAATAGGGACTTTAAGCAACGGCGGATTTTGCGACGGCTATGGCACCAGGATATAGATCTGCGCTCCGCTGATCGAGACTTAAGCTGTTGTGCCGGCGTTCCTTGCCGTAGCAGGCTGATCTACTTCGGGGAAAGAACCAATCTCACGCAGTCACTACAACGCTTGGTTCGGGTGATTGAATTTAATGGTTTTCATTGTATTTCTGAAATGAAATGTTTTCTATAATTGATTGTGACACGCTAAACATTATGTGTTTCAGTGAACCTTTCTCACAGATACAGGACACTGCAAATTTACTGAATGAAACCATAGTGAACTTTTTTCCGTTGTAGGGTATTTTCTCCCCTCATCCTTGCATGGCATACGCTACTTAATTTCTCTCTATACCCTATAAATATCAACATTTACTCCTGTAATGTGGAAAAAAAAAGCCACTAGATGGCAGAATTGACTTTTTTTTTTTTGTTAAGGCCAGTCTGGAGCTAGGTTTTGGGGCATGTCCTGGGCATGCCTCAGAGGGGAATGTCCCAGAGAATTGGAGAAAAGTCTGGAAGATGGGAGGGGGCTGGAAAAGAGTATATAAGCAGAAAAATTGAGAGAGTGAAAGGTAGTAGGAGAAATTGCAAGGAGAAATTTGACCAGACCTGTCACTCTTTTCAAGACCTGTGAGGCTTTTTGTGGATTTTTGCCTGTGTCGGAGCATTTTCCTGTCCCAGGACATCGCAACATAGCTGCCCCATCTCAATTACCGAGGGAATGTAAATATCTCATTTTTTTATTTCAATCTTGGTCAGTAGAGTAGATTGTAGATTAACAGATTTAATTAAACACTTTGAACTAAAGTTTTAAAATTTTGTCTGTCATCCCTTGCTGTCCGCTACGCCATAACAAATTGGAGCCATAACAAATTGACGCCATGACAAATTGGGGCCATTACAAATTGGGGGCTCGTCCGGGATTGACCATTGTGTGAGTCATTTATTGAAAATCTAAAATTTCAAATTGTGAAATTGTTTTTTTGAATTTTCCTCAATATATATTGACAGATCAACAGCAATGGATGATTTCTTGGCATCACCAACCGTAGAGGTTTTGAAGTCTTTTAAAAAGACACAACTGCTAGAAATATGCAGACAGTCAGAGCTGACAGATGTAAAACCAGCCATGTGAAAAGCAAGACTGGCTAGAGAGATTGTTGAATATTGAAAATGTGTTTGCACCAGGAGATCTGGAACAGTTTCCAGTGGAAAATCCAAATGTAGAAATGGAACTTAAATTAAAAATGCTAGAGATTGAAAGAGAGGAAAGAGCATTGAGAGAGCAGAGAGAGAGAAAGAAAGGCAGTTTGAGTTAGGAAAATTAGCAAGAGAAGAGAAAAAAGAAAGGGAGGAAAAAGAAAAACAACGAGAGTTTGAGAGAGAGAAAGAGGAAAGAGCAGAAAGAGAGAGACAGAGACAGAGAGATTTTGATTTACAGAAGTTAGACAGAAAAGAAAGGCTCCAAATGGAGCAACTAAAAATCAAAATGGAGGCTAAAAACAAATTTCATGCTAGCCAGGAGGTAAAGCTAGTGCCTCCATTCTCAGAAAAGGAGGTTGATCAGTATTTCCAGTGCTTTGAGAAGGTAGCTAAGAGTTGTCAGTGGCCAAAGGAACACTGGCCTCTGATGTTGCAAACTGTCCTCAAGGGTAAAAGCTCAACAAGCCTATTCGGCTTTGTCTGCAGATGATTCCTCTGATTATGAGGTGGTCAAAAAGGTTATTTTGACAGCTTATGAGTTGGTTCCAGAGGCTTACCGACAGAAATTCAGAAGTCTGAAGAAATCTGACAATCAGACATGTGGAATTTGCTAACGAGAAGAAGGTTTGCTTTGAGCGCTGGTATACTTCTATGGAGGTCAAGGATGATTTCAACTCACTAAAAGAGATGGTGTTCGTTGAAGAATTCAAGAACTGTGTCAAGGATGATATGAAGACCTACCTTAATGAGAAGCAAGCACTGAATTTGCAATCGGCTGCCAAGTTTGCAGACGAATATGTTCCCACACATAAGTCCAAATTTCGGTCCAGCAGTAACAATAGATGGTCCCAATTTCAGAAGAAAGGTAACGGTGTTACCCAAGATTCCTCACCCAAAGACAAATCTGGTGATGGTGCTCAGAAAACCAGTCAAAGGTCTAATCAAAGTGTGAAAGCTGACAGTGACAAAAGTGGTCTAGTTTGCAATTATTGCAAGAGATCTGGTCATGTTACAACTAACTGTTGGTTCCTTAAAGCTAAGAAAGAAAAAGAAAAGGATACCAAACCCAATGCCTTTGTGAAGACAAGGTTAGAAACCCCTGTAGTAGATGACCGACCTGCTAAATTGCCTGCTCCTTGTGAGGCCAAGAAGCCTGATACTGCTGACTTTGTGAGGGAGGAATTTCTTCCATTTGTGTCAGAGGGATTTGTGGCTCTGAATGAGCATTCTCCTCCTGTACCCATTTATATTCTAAGGGATCCAGAGCTTCTCAGTCACTTTTGTTGATGGACTCCTTGGAGTTACGTGATGAGACCGCTTCTGGGGATTTCATACTTGTACAAGGTATTGAAGGGAGGACTGTATCTGTACCCCTGCGCTCTGTATTCTTGATTTAGTTACAGGACAGGAAAAGGTGGGACTTGTGTCATGTCTACCTTTAAAGGGTGTTTCTCTGTTGCTAGGCAATGACCTGGCTGGGGGCAATGTAGTTCCCCCTGTTCATGTTACTTCACAGCCGAGCACTGAAGATGGCGATGAAGA